TCAATACGAGCGTGTCATTCTTCATAAGTGTCCTCCTCCCTTATTTATCAGTCGAGAAAAAGTTGTTCTAAACACCATTGTTATTGTACACTTTGTGGAGATTTCGTTAGTCGCTCTCTGGTAATTAGAGAATTTTATAACAAAATAACTCTCACCTTACACTTCTTACTTATTGCTATATGCTGTAAAGTTGCTATTTCATATTGATGGCGAGTTCCTTAGTTTTTATAGGCGTACTGATGAGTTGAGAAAGAAGTCTGAAATAGGACCGCGAAGGAAGTTAATGTTAGATGAGAGAAAAGGATGTACTGTTTCCACGCGTAACTTTTTCAACAGATACAAATAATGTCTTTCCATGAGCGGAAAGCCCTCAACGCCAGCCCAGTGTCATGAATTGTGGAAATTGTGGTATATCTCACTTAGCAACCACAATGTAAGTAAAATTAACAGAACGAGTCTCTGTTGAAAGGAGTCGGAAACTAATATCAGCAAATTCTGATATTGCATATGTTCAGGATCAACGAAAACCCTTAATTTCTGTTAAAAGATTCACTAAATCTTGTTTCAAATCCAGCCAAGCTGTTGCCCCTTGATCTATTGCACGTTAAGTGAGGCTGGGGCGGTAGGTAGCTGGAAGATATCCAAGTACAATTTTCCTTGAGGTAGTTAAGTCAGTGTTTGTATATCTTAAAGAATTGACTGCATTCTGTAAGTTCTTCATCTGCAATCCTTGCATGGCCAGGGTCCTGTATCCCTAACCTTTTTCGTTCCCTACAGGGTCCTGTATCCCTAACCTTTTTCGTTCCCTTTTGACTCATTTTAGTGTGTTCCTATCCTGCAAAACTGATATTTTTGTGGTTTCCTACATTTTTAAGGCAACTTTTCGCGTTGCAACAAGTGATTCGAAAGTTTCTGGTTTTTTAGCTTTCAAGGTTAGACCTTTAAATTCATGTTTGTCTTCCATTAGTTTGTAAGTCGTAAAGAAAAATGGCGCAAAAGATAAAGACGCAAGTAACTTTCTATGAATTAAGCGCGCAAATTGGATCTTATGCTCGCATAACTCCGGCTCCTCACCCCACGCGTTTCAAAGTCATGGTCACGTTCATATAATTAGTTTCCTGTGGCTTGCATGCAATGAGTGTTTGTGATAATTGGCAGGTGTTTTTGACAGTTAAATGCCATCATTTGTCATGTTAAACATAATAATAAGTTTCTCCATAGACGTGTTAACTTTTTCTCAGTTCAGTTAATTAGCATTTTGTGGAGAATGTTCGGTAACCACTCTTCATAAGCAGCCATGTACGAAGTAAAATACCCTGAACGAGGCGGCGGTTTTTATTTCAAAACACTCATAATTCAGGTAGAAACATGGGAGACTTTTCACGTGTCACGAACAAGCATAGTAAAAAAGTTACTGCAGTGAAGTTTCGCTTAAAAAAGAAAACAAGTCATAGACTAATATTTTTAAATAATTTTTTCTGACACTTGTTCTTAGCGAATTTCAAAGGTCAATTTATGATTTATGTTTACATATTCTCGCCCTAAAACCTGCAATAGAGGAGAATATTCATTGAGACGGTGGAATTAGCATAAAGTTTACTCACGAACCACATTAAATGAATTCTGCCTTAACTTAGTGAAATATTTCCTCATCAAGAATAGTTAGTCTCAAGAAGTAAAGCTCAAAATCTCGAGTCTCTCAGGAGGAAAAGGGTCCCCTCTCTATGTCAAGGATAACAATGGATTCTCTCTCAATCAAGTAGCTTGTCATCAGTGTCCATTCTCGATTCATAGCGTCCATTCATAACGTATGTTGCAACTGGATATGAAAAAAGAGGTGATTTTGATAGCTATTCGGTGGTTATTATCTCTTGCTATTAACATTCCAGCTCTGACAATGAACTAGCACTTCTGTAGTCGTTGCCGAAGAAGCAGCTGTCAGTTTCTCGAGAAAAACAAGAAGATCAAACGCTAGTGCCGTCAAGTTAATGCATCAGCTGCGCTGACAATAAGCGCAATTCCAAGCTTTTAAGGATCTCTAGTGCAGCAATCACAAACTATTGCTATATTGAAGTGATTTTTGACTTTGATCGATTTTCTAATCACAGTGATTGTTAAAATCTTGTATGTACCAGACCTTTCCACAAACATTTGCATACTTCATCGAGATATTTAGAAAAACATCTAGATACATTGAAATTTAGGGATATTTTAAAACATTTAAGCATTTTCCGTTGAGTCAGCTTTTCTGTGGCAGAATTTTCGTGATTAATATAAACATTATAGATATTAACGTCTGCGTCTACATTGTCTTGCGCACTTTTTCGACTTCCTCAACCGCAGAGTTTGACCTAAACGGCTCAAAATCAGTTGTTGAAAGAAAGGGAAATTATATAAAGGGATATGCGATATTCTGAGAATTTTGGGATAGCTAAGAGAGGCTTTTGAAACTTTCCAGGGATGTATTTAGGCGATTTTATGTCCTTTTTGCAGAAAGGCCTTAGAACTACCGTTACAATACTGTAACGCAACGACAGCTTGTTATTCTTATCTTCTGGAATGTGTTTTAATTTACCCCATAGGAATTATAAGTACCTTTTATTGTGTAATAATACAACGGGTGCTATACATAGTAAAAAAATGAAGTACAAAAATAGACAGACAGTTTGTCAGTTAATGTGTTAACGTTACTATTTTTGCTCTCTACGATGATATTCATTGTTTTAAGGATCACTTGGTTGTTCGTACAAATTGACGGTCCAACCTGCAAAACCAACCAACCAACTCACGTTTTTCAATACTAGAAGTAATATTGCCTTATTTTCACTGAAGTAGAGAACTTTATGAGAACGAGATCAATCTCTTTTGAAATTACAGTTCACCAAACGTTGACCCTGAGGGCTTCGAGACTGTATCCATGATATATACCGAAACACAATGAAACTGGCGTTCAGTAGTGAAAACTATCATAAAATCGGTTTTGTTTCGTCGAACAAAAAAGGGACTGGATAGCAAATCAAACGAGGCGCCAAGAAGTAATTAACAGTTCGCTTGATACAAAATTGATTTGCTGAATAATTTAAAAAGAGCGACAAAAAAAACAGTAGCAACAACAACAAGAGACACATTTTTGTCGGGTGTTTTCCTAAAATATGCCTGCCTGCCTACCTAGCCTTAGGCACTCGGTGAGAGCGTCTCACAAGGAACAGGTGGGAGAGCACACCTTTACCATACTTGGGACCTGTTACTTTAAGCGCCCGCTAAACAGATTATATCCCTGTGACTTCCTTATAAATGCTCTCTCTGATTTATCCTTGCTCATGCTGTGCTTAAAATTCATTCGTATTTTGCCTTTGTATGGCTGAGAGTGCGTGGATGTCACTGAAGCTCTAGCGACTTAAGTAGGAAATGTCAGTCATCGTTGCTGTTATTTCGTTCGAATCGCTCGATCGTTTGTAAGCTAGAGAAACTATCTGTGACGTGAGTTCAATAAATAGCAAAAAGATAGCTATGCTTAAAAGAAAGGCAAAGCATAAAGAAAGAACGACGGTTAGGGATGGAAAAGGTTATACAGTTTGCAAATGAAAAACTTGAAGAATTAAGCAAAAATTTCAATTTTTTTTATGCACAGGCCTTGACCCATCCCTGTATCTGTGATAGTATCAAGTCATTACGTCAAAGAAAATAAAGTCACACGGAGACTATGACGTCCATAATCTCAGATTTGATAACGAAACATCCGCGACTTTTTTCACTTGAGTCTTAACTTGTAAAGTCCGTGAAGAGAATGAAAACACTTCCTTCACGAATCATTGATCACGAAGAATGAAAAGCGTTGATTGGAAATTAAAGACTAGACTAAATATTGACTAAATGCAATTACAGGCTGATAACAGATAAGTTGGAGCGTCATAGTTACACGAGTTACGTGGATTATCCTAAGGGGGGGTCAACTTCTACCCTATCTACGCAAGTGAGTACTGTACACTCTACAGAATGTATTATAACTCAGTAAACAAGCCCTGCGCGCAATATCACAGCGCCTTCGAGAGTCTATTCGAAAGCAACGTAATTCCGGGCAAATATACGCCACATGTTAACTTCCTTAAGTTTCCTTCTGAGGGAGTGAAAGCAGTCAAGTTCCCTTTTACAGTGACTTCCGTCGTTGAATCAAGTCATTTCCTGTTATTCATAACCAAATTCCTCACAATGAAGTCAAATTGACTGTAAACGCTTGTTAGTAATATTTTGCCCCTGGGAATTACTTACAAACTACCCGCCTATTTTAGGTTATGTTGAGTTTTAAACTTAACTTAGTTTGCCCGTGCCCTTGAATCAACATCAGTTGATACGGAATATCGACTAACTTCACAACGAAAATAAAACTTTATACCATCCCAAGAAACCTGATACAAAACTTAGTTTCCCTTTTTAGAATGACACCTATGCAGACTCTCACTGAACGTCTTTTGGAAGAATTGCGCGACCTCAGGGCAGACGAACTTTTTAAAAATTACCCGCGGTTAGTTTCCTGGGACGGTTTTAATAAAACACGATATTAGAGGCAGAAAAGAGGCGTCTAAAGCCAATATCTTGACTATAAATTATGCGTGCGTCCAATGCTAATATTGCAAAAACAAACATTTGAAGAGTGTTTCAAACCCACTCGGTTGTGTCTGCGTTATTTGTCTAGCAGGTCTCAGCGATGCGTTTAGTGGTCTCATCCTCTGAAATAAAGTTTCATTTGCAGTCCTCGTAAATAAAATAAAAAAATATGTTCCTAAAAAACAATTGGAGGAGATTAGTAAAACACATCAAAGATAACGTCTTTTAGCAAAGAAGCGAAAAGGAAGCCGTAATTGACTTTTGCCCGTTCTGCCATCAAATAGGCCGCCATCATGGATGATCACGTGGGATATTATTTCTAACCAATGACATGCGAGCAAATTGTAATGAAGGGCTCGCAAATGTTCATCGCGAGACGAAATTTGCAAGATAAACCAAGCTGCCCAGCCAAGATGGCGGACTTAGAGGCGGTTTTGGCTGATGTTTCCTACCTAATGGCGATGGAAAAATCGAAATCCACGCCAGCGGCTCGTGCAAGCAAGAAAATCATCCTACCTGATCCATCGTACGTAGATTATTGCGATCGCTTTTAATTTATATCTCTTGGATTGAGTTTGTTAACCACAGGATTTAGTTTTGTTCCATCGAGAGCGTTGTTGCTTTATATTTCCAGTGTTTACCATGTAATGCACAAGTATTTGAGCGAGAGGGGAGAGGTACAGTTCGACAAAATATTCGACCAAAGGATAGGTAAGTGGTTTGGTGCCAAAACATAATGTATCGTTCAGATGCACAGTGTTTTTCTACGCGCATTCTCGAAGGAGCAGAACGTTTGATGTCGACGAACACAGCACTTCAATTCATTTAGAATATTTTTGGTTTCCCCCTATGTATCATGACCTTGTTTTATTCTTATGATCAAGGATACCTGGTTTTCAAAGAATTCTGCGAAACTCAGTGCGATGAACCAGTTCCTCAACTAGCTTTTTATGAAGATGTGAGTAACCAAGTTTTATACCTTACATCAATTTATTTATTTACCTGTATATTTTCCAAGCTCAGCACAGGAAGCTAATAGGCAGCCGTAAATTTAGTAGAATATTTCTCGAGTGGGCGGATGCTGGTTGTATAAGTTTATTAGAAAGGGAAGAGTCTGATCAAATTCAGCCCTGAATTTCTCCGGATAATCTGGCTGGACTGTGTTCAAATTAACGATAATAATCCACGACCGATTTCTACAATTCGGGAGTGTTTTGAAGAGATATACGAGCGATCTGTGAATACAGGTCGGATTTTGAACTATTTAGCTCCTCTTCCCATTGGCGAGTTCTGAACATCAGCACTATCTTGCACGAGAGAATATGCAGTATTTGTTGTTTTGAAAGGCTTGTGTTCACTTAACGTCGAAAGGAAGTGTAGATTGGCGTGGTATTGTAAGGGGCACCTAAGATTTATCCACGCGGACCACAGACTATACAAACATTCTTCCTGCTTGTACTTTGGTACTTTATTCACCGCGCAAGATTTTGCAATAAATAATGCAAACGTAGATTTTCCTCTGAGAGTGGGAACTTCAACTGTTGTTCGCCTTAGACTTACCTTTATACCATTTGTTTTGTTACCTCGGTTGTGACCAGTTATATGTCATGTCGCGAGGAAATCACCGGTAAAATTATCGCTCGAATGGCAACATTTACCACAAACGAGGGGGCTTAAATTTTACGATCTGTAATTAGAGTAGTGTTGCAATCGGGGAAGATATACAATTCCTAAAATCGTAGTAACATCGAATTGAATTTAAACTTGTTTTGCTTTTCTGAGTAAATAGCTTTGACATCGACACCTAACACGTTTGGCTCAATTGTTGCATATTGAAACTCGACTCTCGGTATCATCTTTTGACAAAAGACCGTTACAATCGTTTTCTACTCGCAATTCGAATGAGAGATCAAAGCAATGTTAGATGATGGATCGTGCGTCGATTCAAAATTAGCACACCTCTCCATTTACTTGCTTGAATTTATTCATGTAAACACCATACTGCTGGAAAATCATCAATCGACTGCAGTCTTATTTCTGTTATGGTCATGGGTGCGAATGGGTTTTTTTCCTCTTTCGTGGTGATCATACATAATTTTTACGGTGTTTTTTTCGTACCTTGTGTCGAAATATAGGAAACAGAGAAAAAAAGTTTTTGAGAAAAATTATGTCTTTGTTGCGATTCCCTGTCGTGCTGGCCATCGCATGATTCAAGATAAATATGGAATATCTTCCACGGAGTCGCGGCATAAGATACTGTAGTACAATTATATTGATAGTAGTTTAACTCATGTAGTTTAGGGAGATCACCCTTAAATATTGATCTAACAAGGCCCCATGAAATTTCATGATTTTGGTTAGATACTTTCATCGAAATTTTGAACCATCAAAGTCAGGCTTTCTTTAGTGAATTATTTATGAATGTATGGCACACAGTGGTCTTGAATTAGAATTAGATGTCTCGCATTTAGATGCAGTTGAAATTTTTCTCCTCGTACTGTAAAGATAGATGGATGGAATACCTCTTTGGTTAAATTCATTAACAAAAGTGACACTTGCAATTTTGACAATAGGTTTTTTTACCAAAATTTCTTAGTTATTTCCTAATAGTTTGTAAATTCAGTATTGTGAAATTTTGCTTTGAAAAAGATTTAATGCAGGAGGTATTGAAAATATGTTCATGTATTTTATGTTGCTTGGTTATTTGAAGTGCATGTCATTTGGTACTTTTCTTGTAATTTCAAAGTGTTTTTGTTTACCCCTGGTTTAAAACTCTTCTCAAACAGGTGATCAAGTTTTATTTAATTTTTTCTTTCGTGAGCATGTTTTGTAGACAACATTGGTTAAAATTTCACACGTTTATCATGCTTGGTGTAAAATTAAGATTGTGAAAGCTGATTTACCCATTAACTTTTAGAGCCAACTGTAATCTTAGATATTATTCATGATATTAAAATTGGCACAATTTGTCATAATGCAAGTCAAGTTTTTCAAAATTATTCAATCAGGTGCAGATAAACTATTTGCATATGTTCTGAATAAATGAGGGCTGCCTGAATATTGAACCAGCCTTGTTTGATTAAGGCTAATGCAATTGTACTTCATTTTAGAAAAGCCTATCTGTTTGTCCTCAGCACTTTTTGATCTTTAACATCTACCCTTTTTTAAATCAGGAATCATACAGTTACCTTTTGCCAACTGGCTTAATTATCATGTATTTCCTATGAAATTTGACATTTGATCATCTTAAGAATCCTTGTTTTGTAAAATCACCGACACAGTGACATTACAACAATAAATTTGAGACTGCAACAATATTATGCTGAACAAAATGTCATTGAGAGCTTTGAACTGGTTTTGAGAAATAGTAGCAGATTGTCATCATCAAGTGTTAATTATGAATGACACTCTTTGATTAAATGTTTAGTCTTGAACCAAGATGAGATGTCTATCCTCTCAGAAATAACCAGATGTTAATCCAGACAAAATGTCCACAACATGCAAAGAAATACTTGCATGTAAGAAATACTTTTCTTAGAATAAGCAGTCTGCCTATGATTCTTAAGTGCACTAGTTGAGTATCAAAATTGCTCAGTGCTATATATTTGCTGTAGCTGGCCTTGCAAAATAAAAACACTGGCCTGAAGAAAGGTAAATTGTTCAGCAACATGCATGATGTTTTTCACCTTTTTATTCACATCTGTTTTTCCAACCTCTTCTCTTGGTCAAGTTTTCTTTTTGTGTTCCTATAAACAAGATGACTACAAAAGTTATTTACTTTATTCAGCTACAGTATCAGTTGATGATTTTGGTTGTACATGTGCATTAGAAATGCTGCAGAAATGTTTTCCTTAATATTTATAACTATGATATTCCTTTGGTTCACTGCCTTTGTCAAGGTTACAGTGCAAGTAGTTTTCTTGCTTGTTAAGATTAACATTTTGTGATCTTTTTGCTCTAACTCTCTCTTGCTCTTCTCAGTCAGTTAATTCATTTTGGATCGGAGATGTTGTTTGATGATGATTGTTGAACCTTGTAACTTTATGATGAGTTAAATGGATTTAATGAAGTAGTCTGTGGTTGATTTAACCAAACAGATAAGGTAGTAGTAATAACCTTAAGGTTTGGTGAAATGGGCTCAGAGTGGAAAGGTCCAGCACTGGTGTAACCCATCATTTCATGTTTTGGGGTAGGTTACCAAGCTTGCACACTCCCTCACTATGTTTGGGAAAATGATATAATATATAATGCAGGCTAGGGGGGGAACTAGCATCCTAATAAAAGTGTTTCTTTGAGTCATACAATAGAATTTATAGAGCTGATGGGCAGCCAATGCATTAACGACATGTAGCCAACATTCTTTGTAAAATAGAGAATTTTGCATTTTAGCCAGCATTCCTGAAATAGCTTGAGGAAAAGTTCCTCTATGCATATGCTGCTACATTTTTGGAGACAGCTGCATTGTACACCATTTGCACAACAGTGAAGTTCCTTTCCGTACACTGTACTTTGAGACAATTTTCAATGGCTGGAGCAGAGAATTATGAGCTTGTGCTGATGATCCTTGAATAAAATTTAACAATAATATTCTATGTTGTCACATCACAGATCACAGAAAACATCATGAAGTGGAAAGAACATTTATCAAGTTTTTGTTCCTACTACATTTCGATGTCCTCAAATTAATTAGAGTTATAAACAACTGATTTTCTAGTACATCAGGTTAATTTATTTAACAACCTCACACCAAGTGAAGTTGACATACAGCTTTAGGTTGATTGGGGAGCATGAATCCTATACTTGAGTATAATCTTTCGTTCTGTTTTATTTCATTTGTTAATACTATTCAAATCATTTATGGAGTACAATTGAGTTAAAAAAAAAACTGGAATAAAAAAAGCTTAAGATATTTGTATTCAATACTTAAGAAACGTAATACCTTTGAGAAACTTAACATGGTGTATGATTTGTACATCATAAAAACACCCCAAAGTTAGGTGGTAAATGGAAATGGGAAAGTGGTGGAAACCAAAAAAAAATTAAACTTCTCTGAATCAATGCAGATTAGAGAGTATGAAAAACTCCAATTCCAAGAGGACAGACTGAAGATGGCTCGAGAAATATTTGACAAGTACATAATGATTGAGCTCCTTGCCTGTTCTCATGTAAGTATTTTACACCACCCAGATTAAGCAGTTTTACTGTACATAACATGTACTTGTATGTATTACAAACAATAACAGTTAGGGTACCATTGTTGTTGTCATTTTATCATTTCATTATATTTTCATTATCATTATTGATACTGTTATCACTATCACACCTTTTTTTTTTTTTTGCTTAAGGGCATGGTAATCATCCTTCTTTGTTGGAAAAAAATGTCAAAATAATAGTGAAGAACATGTTTTAAATATATTTTTTTGCAGTCTTTCTCTACAAGTGCTCTGGACCAAGTGCAGAGTTCAATAACAAAAAAAGAACTTCCATCTACGCTGTTTGAGGTAAGACTGTGTACACTGTACTATATCCTCATAATTGATTAGTTATTATTGTCTCTATTGCTCTCCTATTAAGTTAAAATGCAATTATTGGTAATGTAATATGTTACTTTATTTACTCCAGCCATACATGTTGGAAATCAGAAACAGCTTAAGAGGGTCAATCTTCCAGAAGTTCTTGAAAAGGTAAGTCCTCCATAAACTTCATCTTTAGGAGCAAATATCATGGCTGTTATGTTGTGTTGGCTAATACCTCTCTTTTCTCATTACTTGCTATCTTTGATTCAGTAATTCTTTAATTCTTTGTTAACAGCGATAGATATGTCAGATTTTGTCAGTGGAAAAATGTGGAGCTTAATATTAACGTGAGTATATATCTAAAGTACAGTGTACTTTGAGGGATTTTAATGATATTATTTTAAGCAGGGGGCCTCGTAGTGAGTAATTTTTCTTTCTCTTTCTCTTCACAGCTAACCATGAATGACTTTAGTGTACATAGAATTATTGGTCGTGGTGGGTTTGGAGAGGTTTATGGATGCCGAAAAGCTGACACTGGAAAAATGTAAGAGTGAACTATGTATTTTGTGTGGGGAGTTTTCCATTTCAAAAAGACATTTGTCAAATTTGATTCTTTAAAATGAACTGGTCATGATAAGTTGGAAAGACTAAGTATGAAAATATTTTTAATATTCTCTCTGTGATAGGTATGCCATGAAATGCCTTGACAAGAAGAGAATCAAACTGAAACAGGGAGAAACATTGGCACTGAATGAAAGAATTATGTTGTCCATGGTGAGTAGAGCTTCTGTTTTTTCTACATGTGAAAAGCAATTATTAAAAAATTAAAACTTAAGTTGAAATGACTGTTTTTTGTTCTTATGAACTGTTTTACAGGTGAATAATCCATTCATTGTGTGTATGACATATGCCTTCCAAACTCCAGACAAACTTTGTTTTGTTTTGGACTTAATGAATGGTAGGTAAAGATGAGTTATATTGATATTCCAAATAGTAATTAGCATTTTCGTTTTGAGTTTACTGTTGAGTGCATCTAACCATGAGTGCTAACAATTCATTCAAACAATTCACTTCCAGTATTGACGTATGAGTTATTTCTTCGAAAATCATCTGTACAATATTAACTAGAAAAGTGATGAGAAGATACAATTGTATAAACAAGGAGTTACTGTTTGATTTAACACCCGATACTGACAGCCAAGGCTATGCCAAATGTATTGAGTACAATGAGGAGTGTTGATGTTGATGTTGATATCTTTGGTGTAAAAGGGTCAAAATGATTAGGTTAATTTTAAAAGATATGCAAGACACCTTAAAAGTATTATGTAAAGACAGTGCTTACTTTGTACCAATCGACTTTGGCCCATCTTCTAGGTGGTGATTTGCATTATCATTTGTCCCAACATGGTGTCTTCAGTGAAGATGATGTAAGTTAATGAAGCAATTGGTAAAAGCTAATCAGTGAAATTAGCTTTTAAAGTAGATTATTTCAGGGTTCATTTGCTTGAATGAACTGAGGAGGCTGTTTGTTTTTCACAGAAATTAACGCATGAATCAGAAATGTTGCTTAACTTGCGCTTACAGTTTTTTCCCTACTTGTTTTATTTCAGGTACGATTCTATGCTTCAGAAATAATTCTGGGATTGGAGCATATGCACGATAGAAAAATTTGCTATAGAGATTTAAAGGTAACAGGCACTGAAAAATGCATTTGATAAACTATGTTGTTCCTTATTTTTCTATTTTGGGACAGCGGAGAATTCTTTCAATCATTTATTTTAGCCAACAGCGACAGAGAGGGAGAAAAAACATCGTAGCGTTTGTAGATTCGCAGTGCGAGTTGATGAATTTCTTACGAAGCAGCTCAGAAAATTCTGTGCTATTTGAAGCAACAAAATTGCAATCACGGTGTAAGAAATGAAGACATTTCGAGGCACTTACATGTGCACAAGTGGGCTTCAGTCGTGTTTCGTTCGTTAATTCGAGCATTCCTTCATTAATCAAGAATTTTAGCTTCATTCTCTATTGTCTTTTCCTTCAAAAGTATTTTCGCAAATTTGATGTGTTTGCTTTTGATGGCATACAGGCTACCACGTGACCAATTTACTGTAGTCATTGGAAACATTGGCGGGAAAATCTTCGCGGTCAGCAAACTCTTTCCCAGGCTTCCTCTTTTTGCGACAGGGTGTCTAATGTCTGGGAGAAATCTGTTTTGTACGTCGTCCCATATTGATAATCTTTGTCCTCGCTTTTTTGACTAAAGATTTGATCTAATCAGTTACCTTGATCAATATTTCAGCCCGCAAATATTCTGCTAGACGAACATGGTCACGTGAGAATATCAGATCTTGGCCTTGCCTGTGATTTCTCAAAGAAGAAGCCACATGCCAGTGTGTAAGTGATCTGCAAATTTATAGTCCACGAAAGGTTGGATACCTTTTGTGGTAGATCTTCGTTCTTGGGTGTTAGCTTTCAGAAACTGTTATCTTGGATTATTTGTTAATTGAGAGTCGAAAGTAAACTAGGAAAGCGTTGGATTCGCTTCCCTTTGCTTTGTAACTCGGGTTACCTTCCCAATCACTCACGCTTGAAGCTAAATCAAGTCTAGTTTCTTTGATCGTGTTTCCCGTGCGTAGGCAATGTGCTTGTGTTTACTTTGAATTCCCATTAGCCATTCTTGATTTTTCTCTCTCCTTTCTTTTGGTCTCTAGGGGAACCCACGGCTACATGGCGCCTGAAGTTTTAAAGAAGGGTGAAGCATACGACTCTTGTGCCGACTGGTTTTCTCTCGGCTGTATGCTTTTCAAATTGCTTGTTGGGTAGGTACATCGTTAAATTGCATGTGGTTGTATTTGGTTGAAATTCGTGTTTCATGGCTGCATGTCGGCGTTCGCTTGCGTAGCGTGTACTGATTGTGAGAAAGTTTCCAGCGGCAGAGGAGCGGAAACAGGCTGTAAGATGAAAGTGAAAATAGCCCGTCATCTCTCAAGTTTGCACCTCTCTTATTTTTGCCATGTGCAAGACCACCTGCTATGCTTGCTGCGTCTGCGCTAGGTTAAGTTCAGGAACGAAAAAGCAGTGGCAAATTAAGAGGACGGGTGTTGGGACTCCCTCTTTCGTTTTTAAAGCAAGACGGGGAGCTGGGTAACCGAGATACTAAATTCAACAAATGACTATCAACAAATGACTATCAAGATCGACCTTGTCCCCTTCCCGAGACGTAATGAACCGCCTTGCTACCCATGTTTCTTTCTTTACATGTCATCACGGAAAAATTTTGGGTGATCTAACTTTTATGCTACTACTCACAAAGAATATGCTGCTGTAATTTGTTTAAAACACTAATACCTTTTTTGCCATCGGTTTGCAGGCATAGTCCATTCAGACAGCACAAAACAAAAGACAAGCACGAGATCGATAGATTAACGTTAACTTACGTAAGTATGATTGAAAACGGAGTCTTCTTATTAAGGGAGACTTTGAGGCCTCTTGGAAATTGTAAGAGGCTTCTAAAGACGTGCGTGTATGGCTTGGCTAACATCATCATAATCCGTCTTGTAGGACGTAGAATATCCAGAAACGTTTTCTGAAGAAATGAAGTCACTACTCGCCGGTCTCCTCAACAGAGATGTCCCCAGCAGACTTGGGTGCAGAGGCTCAGGGTAAGTTTGCCTTTTAGTTTTTTTACTCTTTTGAGTCTAAGAAACCGATATCGCTCAATCTTCGAAAAAGCATTGAACGAGTGTTCAGGAGTAAGAAAAATTTGGTCTCTCGAAAACCGAAAAACCCCAAAAAGGGAACGACACTAAAAAACTAAATGGAAAATGAAAATTGCTTTTTCTTCCATAGGGCTACAGAAGTGAGACAACACGAGTTTTTCAAAAGTAATGATTGGAAATTAGTTGAACTCTTAAAGGTAAGAGGCCTTGTCTCGAACACAAATACTTGGTGTACGCTTGCGCGCACGAACTGTCAGCGGTTACTCCGCGTAATATTCTTTGAATACGGTTACTAATGAAGATACAAATTGATGTTTGTGAGCAGTGGTAGTTTGAGGAACCGTTTACAATTTGTTTGTTGTAAGTTATTGATAAAAGCCGTTGCGTGTTATCCTAAAAAATGGACGCTCTTGAGCTCTTTGAAATGCACTTCTTGATGCTGAAATCTTCCTTTTTGTTCTTGATCACACGGGGTACTTCTAATCGTTGCTAAGTTTCGTAGATAATCTCCAATTTTCGATTGATGAAACTGTCTCAATGGTGTTGTATGTGCCGATTGATCATTTTACTGGTCTAGTCTTTCAGAAGTTGAAATAAGGTTACACTTTTATTTATACGCCTTGTCCATGGTTTTTGAAAATTTAAAGGCTTCAATGCACAGATCGCTGAGGTAAATACATAATGACAGATTTTATTGATCGTTGTTTATCTTCTTTGTTTATTTGTTTGTTTGTTCGTCTGTGCAGTATCCACCGCCACTTGTGCCTCCAAGAGGCGAAGTGAATGCCGCTGACGCATTTGATATCGGCTCATTCGATGAAGATGACGTCAAAGGGATCAAGGTAAGCACAGTGTATAGTAAAGCAGCATGTGCCTTCGAGATCACGAGCTGTGCAGGCTATGTGCACAAGGATTAAATGGAGGAATGCTTACGGGTCTACTTGATTACTGGTCTAATCTTTTTTGTTTCTTATTCTTTGTTTTAACCATGTCCAATACTTTAAGATGAAAACTCGATTCAGACACCCGTAAATGACAAATGTATTTAGCAACACCTTTCCATTTTGGCCAAGTAATTGGGTAATCCGTTCAAATAAAAGTAATCCTAACCAAAGAAAATATCTCCAATTTTGACATTGTTTTTAATGTAACAGGTTAATTTATAAACATTGCTTTTTAGATGACAGATCAAGATCAAGAGATTTATAAAGACTTTAACTTAACCGTGTCAGAGAGATGGCAGCAAGAAATAGCTGGTAAGGGAAGTCATATGCAACAATGTTCGGAGAAATTGCATTTTGACTTCTACCTATGGCTAATCCTGGAGAAAGCCTCTTGATGTAACGATCGAGCTATTGGGTCATCGTCTATACGATAGAGAATGCACTTGCTCCTAATAAAATAGAATTTGGTTCTATCAAATGAGTTGATAATGTAAATTGGTTACTGTAAAGAGTTTCCAAAGCGGAGTTTTCTAAACCAAATCATCTTGGAGTACCCCTTCCCCCCACCACCGAGGCAGTACCACAGAAAAATTACCTCCTTTATTTCCCAGTGAAGTCGTCACAAACGACGCAGATTTGAAGAAAAGAACCAAAGTACATATGCAGATTTGTTTCTGTAATAGTTCGTTGTTAAGCGTCTTGTTTTCTCGTGATATCTCCAGTTTGATATGCATGTGCTTGTGGTGTTTTGTGTGCTTATTACTTGGGGCTTTGTTTTTTTTAACCTTTATCGTGTATTTGCAGAAACAGTATTCAAAGTTGTCAACGAAGAACATGATAAGTTAGAAGCCAAAAAGAAAGCGAAACATCAAAATTCCATAACGGGTGAGTGAAAGTATTCGGATAAGTGTCAGCAGCACTAAAGGAACACCGGGCCAAAGGTCCGTTACTTTTCTAAGCTCGAAAAATACCGACCTCACAAATTTCTTGAATGGAGGCTTTAAATTGTCTTCTGGTGATACAATGTTCTGTAAGTAAATTTCAACTTACTTTCTTAGTGATACGTATGTTGATTTTCCTGCTATCAGTCAATATTCATCAAGCAATTTCCAGCTTATTTTCGAAGGTAATCCCATATTGCATCGGTTTTTCCTCATATATATACGATTGGTCTTGGAAACTCGGGTAAACCTTTCAACCAATCAGATGCAAAACCAACCCAATTGCCAGTCGTTCAGTTGGATTTTCCTGACCCACTTGAGGCCCTGAGAATGCATGTGTTCTTTGTCGTACGGCACTCGGAAAGCGCTCAATTCTCATTAAAATTCGTTCATTGTTATAGTAGCAGAGGATGGAGACCGTTTGTTGGAAGGCTACCTTTACAAGTTGGGAGGCACACTCATGAGTAATTGGCCAAGAAAGTACTTTCATCTCTTCCCCAATCGACTGGAGTGGCGAGGCGAGCAAGCTGGGGTAAGCGAGAGTATTTTTTGCAATTTGATTCACCAGGAAATGTAACGAGTTTCAGAGGGCACATCGCTTGGTCTTACCATTTAATCAAATCAAGTGGGGGCATCTTTTAAATTATTGTTTCAAAGGGTTTTGGAATTTTTTCGTCAGTCGGTATCAAAGATTTCTTCCCTTGAATGAAGCTCAAAATGTGCTGCCCAGCTGACCAAAAGCCCTTTCCCTTCCCTCGCTTTTGGTACGTTTGGTTTGCACGGGCTGCCGAGAGATGCTCTTCATTACTTAGTCTTACGTTGATAGAAATTTCTTCGAGGTTATTGGTGTTAATGGTGTTCTTTCTTTGTGCAGCAAATGCCGAGTCTTTTGTGTATGGAGAATATAACGGGGGTGGAAGAGACACACGTCAAAGGTTTTAAATGCATAAAAATCAGCACTAACATCCGGGATAACAGGGACCATATTCTCAGAGCAGAGGTGGGTCGAGGCGCGGCTTCTGTAGTGCAGTTCATTATTGTGCTGTCAGTTAACTGGTACCTCAGTAACTACTATATGTTTCGGGCCCTGAAAGTTGTGTTACGTGCACATGTCGTATTAATTAAAATTTAGTCAATTTTTGTAAATAGAGTAAAAGGGATGGTAAGTTTGAGCCCGGTAAAGAAATAAAAAAGGATTTTTTTCGTCTTGTCACGTCGTTGGACAAAGGAAAAATTCTAAGTCCCCATGAGGAATCGATCCTCAGACCTTCGCTCGTGACAAGACGGAAAACATCTCTAAGTCAATCTTGTTGGTATCCTTTCCCTCCTGGTAACCGTTGTTACTTAATGAAATTAAAAATTAATTCTAGAATGTTTCATCTTTCAGACCGAGACTGAATTTCAAGAATGGATGAAGGAGATCAAACAGTCATTCCAGCAAGCGCAAGTCATGATGCGCGCAGGCGCCAAAATTATGAGCTCTGGTCATCGCTACATCACGCAATACAGCAAAGAAGAAAACGGCCCTGTGTCGCCGTGAACTGCCCATTCTCACGCAAATCACTCGAACATGTATATACAGAGATACAGAGAAGTCAAACTTGATCAAGCCTTTAATGCTACACACGGTAAAACGTGACGCAGTAGATAGGCTTTGTAATGATCGGTGCAACAGTTGTCCATTGTGTACATGGCCTGTCTGCGAGTCAGGAGCGCTAAGCGTGTATGATACGCAGATTGCGCAGTACAGTAGGGGACTGGGAAGAGAATTGTTTGGGATCATTAAGAATCGAGTATAGAAGATTTTATTAGTAGTTTTAGGTCTGTTATAAAGCTGCCCACGAAGTTGCAAATTATTCATCAGTCATTTTATTCATTTTACTTTCGTCTTTATCGATTCTGTCAAGTACCGACAGCGTACGAGACCCCTTCGTGCAGCGACAACTAGAAAGAAAATTATGATGTCCATAGGTTTATTATGAAATTTCTTCAACTTTTTCACTTGTACAAATTCGAAAGTAATAATTAACTTAAAACATTAACGGATTTCTGCCAGCTTCATCTCTGAATGTAGATGTGTTGTAGATGGCTTTTCGCTGAAGGGAATGATGCAATTAGACGTAATAATGCTATATACAAAACAGAACTTTGGAACATTTACATCGAACTGACACAGCGGCAAATTTTCAACCATATCAACGTGATCGGACGGAAAAAGGGTAATGTTTCTTGTCGACGCTGTATGTATTTATTGCAAGACAATATAATTGTAGCGCTGTCTAAAGATGGCCCTGAAAGTTTGTCTTCGCCCTTGTATATGATTTGTATTCTCGAGAAAGCTTCACATAACTTCCACGAACTTTTTAGATCGCTAGTACTTCTGTAGAGGTGAACTTATATCAAGGTTTCTTTTCAATTATTAGTCAGCCGGCAAAGTACCTCCGTGATCAGTTGGAAATTGGAAATTAGTATCTACCCTGGTCTAACCAATTAAGCTGAGAGTAGGAGGGGAGTGAGGAGTTTGATCATGTTCATAAGCTTTGATCAAAAGCCAAATTCTCCTAGCTTCCTTCAGATAATGATACAAAAAAAAAGTGAGGGGAATTTAGTATTGTTCTTATAAAAGACGATTCAGAGGTGGTAGAATTAACAATTTAATTCCAAATGGAAATTGAATGATCGGCGAGAACATTGACGAACGAAAGAGCTAACCCGAAAAGATTAAATAAAAGATAGAAGTCGCCTAAAGTATTACATTCTATAAACTTAAAAATTAATCTTCCTCCGAGAGCCGATTTTAGAGACTACAAATAAGAAACAGTTGTGTTGATCTATAGGCTTTTTATATTTCTTTTGCCGGATAACGTTAAGTAAATTTCCTGTCTCTTTTAAATACTAGGGACTTTGCGACTTAAACTCAATTAACACAAATGGGTCATAGTATGTTAGAGAATCTCGGGGCCTGTGACGATTGTGGTCGCTGGTTGTGTGGTCTTCAAATAGGTAAAAAGTATCATACTCGTTGTAAAAGTAACCCTGAGAAATTAAACCTCATGGTTTGCCTTCTTTGAAAAAGTAGAGTAAAATAAAGGAGTTTTTATGTGCGCTGTTGCAGCGTGATGCTGGACAATAACATCTTCATGCGAAATAGGGACCAAACGTCTATTTATTAGTAATAATCGTGATTCTTACATGCAAGAAATATCACGGATTGATTGTTAACAGATGGGAATTTCAAGGCAACATAAGTCGAATTGTGGGAGAGGTAGCGGTCTGTATGATAAGGAATATGACTCCGACCCCTTGCGTAAACAGCCCTTTTTGTTTTCTGAATTTGAATTTAAATTGTCTCGGCTTTAACCATATGTGGCCTTTGGAAACTTTGGAGAAAACTCAGCAGAGTGAATAGGCATTACTCTTATTCAGAAGGTGGTACATACGATGGGAAGGAATGCTCTAACCTCGCAGACCATCCCTTTCTCTGTGAAGCACGTCTCATAATTACCCATGCCCACCTTCTTAATTTTTAAAGTCAACTCTCGTCACAGCGGACACTGGAACTGCCAGTTTGAACATCCATACGAATGGAAGGTGATAAAGATGTCCCTGTATCAGTTACAACGAAAAATGCCACTCACCTTTGCTTGCAAGCATGGTTATGCAGTATGGGTTGAAATTAGTACAAATGTGACCCTCAAATGTCAACACGAATTAATCACGTGACATGTCCGCTAGTCTGAAGAAGGAAAAATAAAAAGTCCGTGATTCCCGTGATTCAGAAGGGGCGCGGATCGGTACAGCTTGCAGCCGCGTTTTGGCGCGAAATCTACGACGTAGGTGGAAACACGTAACAGAGACAAACACACCGAGAAACTCCAGCTTCATACACAAGGCTTAAAAAAAAATCCTGAGAGGAAATTCAGCTCTCTTCAAGAAGGCGGTTCAAATATATGTTGATTGCTTTTGAGGTTGCGGCGAAGAGACGAGAAAGTTCAGTGTTTCGACTCAATCAGCGAGCAAGCGCGCGATATACGGATTGAGGCATAAAAACGTGGCCACACTTATTCGCTGGACTTCTAGGCAGACGTTGCGGAACGGAAGACAAAAAGTTAGGAACATTTTCGAAAACATGTAACAGGAGTGAGAAGCAGATTAGGTAAGAATAGAAAGAATTGTTTGTCTTTAATATGCCTTTAAAATTGAGTTGCACCTTGATTTGTCAATACGTATCAAATTTTACAAAGCATGTAATTACGTGCATCGCTGAAACTTCGGTAAAGGGGTTAGCAACACTAGCAAAAATCTTAAATTCCGAAAATTATGAAATATAATCGCAAGATACCTACCAAAGTATCTGCATACTTGCATATTTCACCTATTTATAGAGTAATTTAAAATTGCGGAGCTTCGATGAATAATTTGCTAAACATAACCCTGTCATGCCCTTGCCTTTGTTAGTTATCTCTTTATTCTTTGGGTTTCGGAGAAGTGGAAACCCATCACAGTAAACAAGAAAGGATATTTACGTCAAAGAAACCACTTTGAGCTGGTATCTAATCTCTCAATATCGCCTTTATCATAAAAGATAGCACGATAAATTCTTTCAAGATATTTACAAAAGTTGGTTGTAGGATCATCAAAGTGTTTGAATTAGGTCAACAGGATCGATCCTGTAGTCAGTGCAGAAGGGAAACAATCATAGCTCAGGAAGGAGGGGCACTATTTTGCTCCACGGGTGTCACAGAATTACTTAGAAAAAATTTGGAAAGGGAATGTTTCACCCTTTTGCTCAGTTCTGTCTTCTATAATAACATATTAAAAGAAAATGATTCTTGCCGGGACCCGGGATTGATGATGGTTTAGACTCTCTCAACCGAGCTATATCAGCAACTAATAAACGCGGTTAGAGAAAAAGAAAAGGTGAGGGGCATATCAAAAGAGAAAAGGTAACAAACAATAGAAAACAACAGTAAGAAAACGCATACGTGTACTTGTTAAATTCTTTAACAACGAACATAGCTCTTTGCACAACCATTTCTTAATACAACACCAACTAAAAAACAACAATAACAGCATCAAATGAAAAATTGCGGGATTCGTCGATGTTGGGTGTGGTCTGGTAAAGATCATGCGAGGTTAAATGGTCCTGGTAGAGATAAGATAAAGGTTTGGTACTCCTTTCGTTTAGTGGAAGTGCTTTATTCCCTTTCTTCTGAGAGAACTTAAAAAAAAAAATTACTGAGCCTCTGTATTTTCTGTCTCACGAGAACGGAGCCTAGTTTTGTTTGTCTTTACAAGTTAACAGGAAAGGCTAACCAAGAATTATTGACTACACTGGAGGAAAGAGATTGACGTTTTCCCTTGATAAATCAAGTGGACGATAAAATTTCTGAATTTTTTGTTCGCAGGTTCCACCATGCGTGACCTTTGCTTGAGTGATAAAAGCTTCTTCATGTCTATTTTTCTTCATTAAATAATATATCCAAATTAACTTATTCACAAAGTTTTCGGAGAACTTAAGTCATAGACTCGGTGCTAAAAATTATAGCATTTGAACTGATCTGTCGACTTTGAAAGCGCCCTGTGAGGGGCTCCCCCACCTCCCCCCCCTTCTTCACGCAACAGTTAAAGAGCCTAATGTTGCGTGATGGCTTGAAGGATCTTTAAGGTAAACCAAGTGAAAGTCACGATCGGCAAACGACCTGCCCATTCTAAGAATCTCGTAAACGTAGCCTCCTTTGAACTTACATTTACTCTTTATGTCAACACCAAGGTTCTTCTGTCATAGATGCACAAAAGATTAATAAATGCCATAATCCTAGTCGTGTTTATCACCCAGGGAACACGGGATTTAATAGTCCGGCTATACAACACATGCTCTATACTGACAAGAGTTTTGTGCATTGCGGGATTCTTTCTCTCCAGTTAAAAAACAAACACATGCTGAATAGATTTCCCCAGTTCTCACGCCAACTTGAAAGCCAATCATTTACGTTTATGTCGCGAAATTTTGAAAACGGACGTAAAATTGTCTTCTTGGTGTATGTACCAAGAGGTTTTACAATTATTTTCAACAATATTCCAATCGGCGACCTCCTTAACTTTGCATGGGAACATTAAAGAACCGGCGCACATGTTCAAAATTGTCTTATTAACTTCTGAAGAATAGCGGCAGTCAACCATTTTTTGTATCCCTCTAGTAAACAAAGAGTCCATTACGTGAATAAATGTTTCTCTGTGTTTCATTTAGATCTTCGATCTAGCTGTAATAAAAAGGGATTAACGTGTGTCGTTTTCGTCCTATCTACATAGTGAAATTTCTTTTGACCCTTGTCCAAGAGGGTCGGATGGACACACGTCCAAGGTTTTCCACTCTTTTTATTATTCTACACCACCCAAGTTCTTTCATTCTTTTTTGTTTCTTAACAAAAAAATGCGCGCCAACTTTAGCAGGCATAAATCACTTCATCATTTGTATATTTCATTAGATCAGGAAACGTCTAAAGTTGATATTTACAAATACTTTTCAATAAACTTTCGTCCACTGCTCACGCTAACAGTTCCTTTCAAAGGAAGGATAACTCTCCTAGGGACTGAAAGGGCGTTTTTCACAGTTTCCTTTTTCCCAAAATTGATTTTTGAGTAGTAACCTAACTACAAAACGTTACTTTATCTTTTTTTTTTCTCAGTAATTTTTTTGACATTCACAACTGTTGTGACTTGATCTTCTTAAGTGTCCTAATTATTTGCTTTTTAAAGATGAAAGACGGGGCCCGCCAGCACAGATAAAGGAAAGTGTTTTTAATTTTGTTCTTCTTTTGCAGATTTGCTCGACTGATAATTTTTTTTATCTGATACAAAACTGTAACTTTACTTTTGCCAATTTCCCAACGTCTCCCTCGACTTCCGTAAAATTAGCGCTATCATGTCTAAGTTACACTGGTATCTGTTTCCACATTTATAATTAGTTACAGTAAATGATTGTAGAAGGTTGAGTTACGAATTCTCTCTTATTGTATCTTTTAGTTTCTAACTTGAAAATAATTTTGGGAAATTTTTACGTGTTCATTTGTTGGTGTTTCCTTGTCCGTTCTCTTCCAGAGCTGGCTCTTTTTTGTCTGTTTTCTTGACCGTGGTCGAGCTATCAGGTTTTTCCGCTTTCTGTGCTTTCTTTTTCCATTTCATCCTTCTATTTTGGAACCAAGTTTTCACTTGCGCTTCGTTCAAGCAAAGAATATGCGAAAGCTTTGCTCGATTTGTTGAATCCAAGTATCTCTGCTCTGAAAAGGTTTTCTCCAGGACACGCAGTTGCAGATCCGTAAAAACGGTACGTGATTTTCGACATCTTTTGCCGCTTGGAGTTCGTAGATTCGGTTTTACGCGGAAGTAAACGGGAATAGGGTGGTGCATTATCTCTGAACTGGTAGAAGGTTCTAGGAAAAAACAACGAAAGTTCACCATGGGGAAGCGAATTCTTCAAATGTGCAGGGCCCTATGGAGGGATATCTTTTATGGCTAATAAAAGCCTCCAAGAATCATTTAAAACCTTATTTAACTATTTCAGAAATTTAGGTAAGCTTTTCAATGGCCTCCAAACTAGGTTATACATGTTAAAGCATCTCTAATCAGTCTATTTTGTCGTTCAAAATATTGCGGCGTATTACTGAAAAAATTCATTGCGTATGGTTATAAAAACTTAGTGTCAAATGAACGAAAGCTTTTAATAGCATATTTATTTCCTTTTTAACCCGAAAACAAAATGATCATTTGAAACTCGCTTTCGTCAGTTTCTCTTTTTGGTGCCCTCAGGAACTGATTCAAAAATAGTTTTTCACTGCGTCGTGAGAAAGACATTTCTTCCTCTTACTCTTTATGGATTCTAAGAATACATAAGGAAGAAGAAAATACTTTCCTGAACTGTCACGGAAAATTCAGTTAAAACATTGTAGAGTTCAAGCTTCGCTGTAACCTGCGTACTGGTTGCTGACAGCATCTTACTCGCTAAGTAAGACCAGGCGTCAGAACATTAATTAAATGTCTAAGGATATGATTAACATGGCATTATCATCAACCATTATTTCCTAGTTTTCCTCAGTAGCCCGTG